CTGCTGACCCTTACTCCTGACCCTCCGCCTGGCCCAGCTCTGCCCATTGAGAGCCGCAGGACGGAAGTTCTCCAGATGACTGTCCTGTGCTCTTTCTCCTCTCGGACGCAGAGCCTGGCCCGGCGCTCCACCTGGGCTGTCCGGGGCGGGGCGTGGCCATGCGGCGCCACAGCCCGCCTTCGTGCGGGTCACCACTCGGAGTCCTCAGACTGCTGACAGCTACAGAGCCTGCAACGAGCAGGACCTCCAAGTGCTGAGGACCTGCGTTGGGCGGGGTCCCCCATGCCTCATATGTGTGACTAATCTGTGTTTACACGATGAGCTGGATGCACCCTGTTAAGTTCCACTCACTTCACAGATCATCCTGACTCTTGAATCTTCATCTAAATACCTCCTAACTTTGAGCCCCGGGCAGATGTTAATATCCGGACACTCTACATGTGCACCCAAGTCACTGCTGGAGGTGAGGCTGAGATCGGGCTCTGGAGAATCCAGCCATTTGTGTCCAACACTCTGGGTTCAGGCAGCTGCAGGGGGGTGCGGTGTAATTCTGGAAAGAACCAGGGCTTTGAGAGTAAGAGGCTTAGCTCCTAATCTTTCTCTGGGCCTCCATTTCCTCATCTTTAGGTGGGGATGACAATATCTGTCTTTCAAGAAAGTTTTGAGTAGGGGCAGTGCATATAAAACACCAAACACATGCGAAGCACTCAAATGCTAGCCAGTATGATGATCATGATAGTTGTTTTACCTAGTGCAACCACCTGACTGTACTATCTTTAAAGACTTAGGCAACCTCCCCTCTGTGCTTACACAGCATCTTGTTGCTCGAGTTATAAACTCTTATCACAGCACTTTTTTACTGCTTTGTGGTCACCTGTTTCCTTCTCTCCCTCCCCCAGTGGACACGACCTCCTCCTCTGGATGGCACCCAGTGTTTGTACAGTGGATGCATGCCTCAAGTTCCATGGGCAAACTGCTCAGTTAGATGGTTTATTCTGTAACTCAGTGGGGTATGTGGAGAGGATGCCCCAGTGAGCCCAGCTAGTACCAGCCAGCCCTCTGAGCCGTGTCTGATGGTGTCTGTCTGAGGGTCTCCCTCTCCATGAGTGTACAGCGTTCACTTCTTGACCTTTGTAAGCAAGCAGGAATTGCTGCCATAGCCATGTCCCGCCCCACTTTATCGAGCTATGCACCCTCGGTCTGATTAGTAAGGTCCACCTCTTGCCCTTTCTACAATCATTCTTCGGATCTGTGTCTTTGGTCAAATCATGAGGCGGCTATGATGCTGTCTGCATTTGGGAAGAATGGTCTAAAAAGCTATCAGTTTTCCTATTCCAGGTTGAGAAGCAAGAAACTTCAGGGGAAAAGATGACAGGAAAAACACACATACAAGCTCATAAAGCTTCCAGTTTAGTTGAACATGAAAAACACCAGCCAGATCCAACTGACACAAGACACTCAAGCCTGGCTCCGTATGGTGGACAGGGGAGGGCGCACAGCTCTGGGGTCAGAGAACTCACAGGCTCACACCATTGCCCCTTTCTGAGCCTCAGTTTCCTTATTTGAAAGCAAAAAATAATAAAACCGAATTCACAAGACTTTCTGGTGAGGTCGAGATACAGTGTGTAGTTGATTTTGTGTTTTTTCCTACATATGAAAAGGGCATAACAAAAAAAAAGAAGGGGAAGCTGAGGCTGCAAAGACCGTGAGAAGACACATTTGGTTGTAAACGCCCCGCCTGGGTCTACCTAAAAAGCATGGTCTGTACTTGATTACTAATTTACTGTCATACTCTTGCCTCTTTTCTTCCACTGAAGGGATCCAGGCAGCCTTCAGCTTAGATTCATCTTGTTGGACCATTTGTGGGACAGGTGGGTGGCGGGGGCGGGGGAGCTCTACTCACAGTATGTGAGGCCCACGAAGAGGTGGGATCCAAACTTCCGTCAAACCTGTCAGATCAAGGTCATGTCACACACAGCTCTCTGCACTTAACAGAGAAGACCTGCAGAACTCCTCAGGGTTGCTTGAACAGGAGAAACCATTTAATGTTTCTTCTGATGGGGAATATCAGCAAGAAGAAATATAATAAAGTGGATTGTCCGACTAAAACCAAAGGTAAATCGCCTTTTCCACACAGATTAAATTTTTTACAATGTCAGTGAAATTAGATTTTCCCCTTCGACGGGTCCTGGCTAGAGGCTGACATTTCGGTTTCATTTACATTTGGCCAAACCCACATTTCCTTCTCACTCTGAGGAGGGAGCAAGAGAAGCCAGATGAATAACAAGGGGAGAGGGAATCATTTAGTTCATGTGAGACAGCAAAGTGGACCCAAACGAGAGGAGGGAACTTGAGAATGATAATTTCGATAACTGTTCCTTGGTTATATGATCTGAGAGTAACAATAAAACCGAACAAAGTAATCTGAAGATTACTTAACAAGCTCCTATACCTTATTATTTTTTGTGAGACATGAGGAAGAAGGAACGGGAGCTTCTAAGATCTAACCACTCAGCTTTTCTCTAAAGTCTACAGGTAGGAATGCAGCTGGTTCCAATCACAGCGAAACAGTAACGGGCCAAAGGTACAGAAAGAAAACTTATTTATAATAAATTTTAAAAGCAATGGCTTTTCTTTATAAAAGAAACACATTAGGTGACATAAATCAAAACCGTAATGAAAAATAATTTTTCCATCTAAGTATATAAAATATAAGAAAAGGTTGCCGTAAATAAGAATGAACATTTTTGATTTATTCAAAGTTTCGATCTAAAACCTCAGTGAAATCTACCACCTATATTACAAGGGGACTGATGGTTCCTGAACAGAATGAAACAAAAGTTGAGAAAAATGGCACCAGACATTGGAAAGTGACCCAAACTGGCCGAGTGTGCAGAAGGTTTGGTCCAAGAGATCACGGACAGGGTAAAAGCCACATTTGTTGAGGAATAATGTTAGAACTGGTTAAAGAGTATAAACCTCCATAAGAAAATTAAAGTTGGTGAACTAGATTCAGCCTGTTTACTTCAAGTCAATAATGTCCTCATCTGAGAAAGTCGTGAGCTGAAAAGGGCTGCTGCCCCAGGCTGGGCTGCCTTCTCTGTCGGCCCCAGGGTCTAGGTTGGAGCCTGTTGAGTGGCAGTGCCCCTCGGGATTGGCTTCGGAAGCAGAAGGACTTTCCAGGGAGCCCAACGTGATCCTAGAAGAGAAAAATCATTGGAAAAGGGTAGCTGGGAACACAGCTGGGCCGGGCCTATTATGTCGGGCGGTTTCCTGCTCATCTGAGCTCATAAGCCTGTCTCTCACACCCCAGCCCCCACCTGTTATGGAGGAGGAGTCACTCCTCACCCCAGTAGAGCTTGGGTTCTGCAGGCAGATAACCCCAAGTCATGGGCTGTGTGTTTTAAAGGCCAATGGTGACACATCGGAGGGGTTTGTGAAACATCATTTACCTTTCTCAAGTGCCAGGCCTGGTAATGTTACTCGAAATCTCAGACCCTCCTGTGGCTCCCATAACCTGAGGATAAGGCTGAAATTCCTACCCAGGGGACCACAGGCCATAGGACCTGGCCCTGCCAGACCCTCCGGCCTTCTCCCAGCCCCTTAGTGCATCTCCGTGTCTCTCTCTCAGCTCAATGTCACTTCCTCGAAGAAGCCTTCCTTGATCTCCTCCCACCAAAGCAGATCTTCTATCCACCCTACCCCCATCGTTCATTTTCTTTTAAATTTCCTTACAGCAGTTGTCACTATTGGGAATGACTTAATGTGCTGATTTGTGTATAGGTTCATTGTCTGTTTCTTCACACTAGAATGTAAAGTCCACGAGGGCAGGGTCCTTGTCACGTACGAGGGGCTCAGTAAGTGTCTGTTAGATTAAAGCATGAGTAGTGCTGCCCCCACTTTGCCAGGCTGACGCTTACTTGATTAGAAGACTCAGCTCAGCCTCTCCTGGTGTTTGAGACCCTCCCTGTCCCAGGCCTGGGGAGGATGGCAGCCCTCATTCTTCTGGATCACCTGCCCCGCTGGAATGCTATACTTCCTAGGATGTCCTTGTTGGCCTTCCCCACTGGCCTGTAGACCCCCTGAAGGTCATCTCCGAATCTCCAACACCCAGCTCAGTGCCAGGCACGCCGTGTGTTGAATGAGGTAATGGAGCATGCGTAACGTTGCTTGAGGGATGCGGAGACAAATCTTAGGGGACAAATCAGTGGGATACTGAACTGCCATCCAGAGAGTCTGCAGTGGTTTCTATTCCCACCAGAAGTATTAGAGAGTGCCTTTTCCTTGTCATTCTTACTGAGTATTTTTGTTTAAAAAACTCTCTGTCAATCTGGTGAGCCAAACAATAAAAGTCTCTTCCTGTATGTTAATGAGCATTTGCTGGATTGCTAGTGAAGTAGCCCATTTGTCTGGGCCTCTTCCTGGCAGGCTGTGGTCTAGGGACCCTCTGCTGAGCTCGGTCAAGAGCATCGTCCATGATCAGACAGGGCCTCGTGGCAGTGCTGTGACCGG